CTCGTGGTTTTGTACATAAGGGTGATGGAGTTGGTACAAGGCTCAGCGGCTCAGCATGTGTAGCTGTGATTTTCACTGTCCCCAGGTCTGCGTGGTTCTTTCCCTCATCAGCCTGCTCTCTGATGGTTTTTCTGCCTTTCTCCAGTGAGCACAACCATTCCCACTCCAGGGACACCAGTCCCCTCACATTCTACCTGAGGAACTAGATATTATCCACACTTGTGTACAAACTGTGGAGTATATGTCCAGGAAAACAGACAGTGTGTTGAATATCTCAATTCTCTCCTCTTAAGTAGCTGTGCTTATTTCAGATTAAGTGTACATATTAGAAGAGGTGTGAATTGTGGGACAGAAGGGTGTCCAAGCAGGAAGCTTCTGTATCCTCAGGGATTTGTTAATCATCTGGTTTCTCCCTGTGACGATATATAGTTGGTATGTTGCTGACTTGGGATGGTCACTGCAGTATTGATGGACAATTCTGTTGGGTTTCATTTTATATATATATTTATATATATATATATATATATATATATATATATACACACACACACACACACACACAGCTGATTAAGTAATTGATTATGTAAAACCGTCTCTAGCAGTGTCCCCTTTTAAGAGCCATAATTGGTAACTTTTTTTATTTTTTCTTAAGGTACTAGGGGTTGAAACTAGGGGTGCTTTACTCTGAGCAATATCTCCAGACCTTTTTACTTTTTATTTTGAGACAGAGTCTTGCTGAATTGCTTTGGGCCTCACTAAATTGCTGAGGCTGTCCTCCAACTTGCAATCCTCCTGCCTTGGCCTCCCCGGCTGCTGGGATTATAGGTGTACACCACTGCACCAGGCTTTGGTTGCTACACTGTGGCTTAATGCYCTCACGGTCGTCTTACTAATTTTTCTGGTTTTGCCAGACCTTAGCCTGATTCATTTCTTTAGAATACAATATTTAGGGGCTCACAATGAGATAACTTTTTGTAAATTGTCAATATGGAATTGAGATAATGTCTCCCCTAAAGACTTTCTGTCCCTTCACCCAGCCTCTTCATTTGGTCTGGCTTTCAAGGAGTCAAGAATTAAGAAGTGTCTGAATGTGGTGGATACCCTATATCCCAGCAKCTCAGAATGGTGATTCAGGAGGATCACAAGTTCAGTGCTAGTCTTAGCAATTCAACCAGACCCTGTCTCAAAATGAAAAATAAAAAGGACTGGAGATGTAGCTTAGTGGTAGAGGATCCCTGGGTTTAATCCCCAATGCCGTCAAAAAGATGGATATATAAATTCAACAACTGATACAGAGAAGGAAAGAAATTAATCACAAAACTGGGGTTTAACAGATGTGAACCTTTCCAAAAAGTTGAGGTTAGATATTGTTGCTCTGTCTCTGATCACATGTTTTGTCTTTCTGGTGTAGACAGATCTTTCCCTGAGTCATCTCTTCAGGATAAATTGAAAGGGGGTCCAAAGTGATATGAGGAGCCTACCTTGTATGAAGCAGAAATTCCAGAAATCTAGTGTTCGATGATTCCCATTGATCAAACACCAAATGTGACTTTTGCTGAGATTTCTCATCATACGCTTCCTGTCTTCCATGTGGGCCACCTTCGTTGTGCTTTCCTGGTGTCCCTGTAACAGCATGGGATGGCGTCCTGTAGAGGAAGCTTCCTCCACATGGTCTCAGCATTGCTCTGTCCAGCCACGTGTGGGCTGCAGTTGTGGAGCTTACTCCACTGCAGACGCTCTGTGTGCTGACTGACCTCTCCCCAGGTCTCCCTTTCAAGGAAGGTTTGGGATCCAAGGGTCAGGAAGAAAGATGTTCAAACCTAAGGTTCAGAGGTAACAGAGTGGACAGAGAGGCTGTGTTTTGAGTTCCATGTTTTCACTGAAGTGAGGATCTTGTCCTTCTGTGTTGTTATTAACAGGCCCTGTTGTGTGTTTAATTTTCTTTCAGGTGATAACAGAAAACCTCAAGCCACCRAACCTACTACTTGTGAGCCAGCCTTGTCCRAGGGTGCCTCACTCCAGGGACAGTTAACACAAGGGGCCTCAGGGTGCTCCCAGGTGGTGGCAGCCAGAGGTCAGAATGGGCCATCAGCAGTGCAGGAAGGACTCTTGAGACCAGGTGTAGAGCTGCAGGAGAAGCTTCCTGGGAAAAGTATCCCTAGACCTGGTGGTTCAGGGGCATCTGAGGACATTTGTTCAAGGATGGTACAGGTCCCTGTCTGTCTAGGAGATGCTGTTCATGACTGTGACCCACAGATCACTGCTATGGATTCCATGAGTCAGGAGAATGAAAACATCTTCAAATGCAGTGAATGTGGGAAAGTGTTTAACAAGAAACGCCTTCTTGCCCGACATGAGAGGATCCACTCTGGAGTGAAGCCCTACGAGTGCACGGAGTGTGGGAAGACCTTCAGCAAAAGCACATACCTGCTTCAACACCACATGGTCCACACAGGGGAGAAGCCCTATAAATGTATGGAGTGTGGAAAGGCCTTCAACCGCAAATCACACCTTACTCAGCATCAGCGGATCCACAGTGGGGAGAAGCCCTACAAGTGCAGCGAGTGTGGAAAGGCCTTCACCCACCGCTCCACTTTTGTCTTGCATAACAGGAGCCACACTGGAGAGAAACCTTTTGTGTGCAAAGAATGTGGCAAAGCCTTTCGTGATAGGCCGGGTTTCATTCGACACTACATCATCCACAGTGGGGAGAATCCCTATGAGTGTTTTGAGTGTGGCAAGGTCTTCAAGCACAGATCATATCTTATGTGGCACCAGCAGACTCACACTGGGGAGAAACCCTATGAGTGCAGCGAGTGTGGGAAAGCCTTCTGTGAGAGTGCGGCCCTAATCCACCACTACGTCATCCACACTGGGGAGAAGCCCTTYGAGTGCCTCGAGTGTGGGAAGGCCTTCAACCACAGGTCCTACCTCAAGAGGCACCAGCGCATTCATACTGGAGAAAAGCCTTATGTGTGCAGTGAGTGTGGGAAGGCCTTCACCCACTGCTCTACGTACATTTTACATAAAAGGGCCCACACTGGAGAAAAACCCTTTGAGTGCAAAGAATGTGGGAAAGCCTTTAGCAATAGGGCAGACCTCATTCGCCACTTCAGCATCCACACTGGGGAGAAGCCCTATGAGTGCATGGAGTGTGGGAAGGCCTTCAACCGCAGGTCAGGCCTCACGAGGCACCAGCGTATTCATAGTGGGGAGAAACCCTATGAATGCATCGAGTGTGGGAAAACCTTTTGCTGGAGCACAAATCTCATTCGACACTCTATTATCCACACTGGAGAGAAGCCCTATGAGTGCAGTGAGTGTGGAAAGGCCTTCAGCCGCAGCTCATCCCTCACTCACCATCAAAGGATGCACACTGGCAGAAACCCTGTCAGCACAGCAGAGGAGGGGCCCCCTTTCACAAGTGCTCATGCCTCCGTCAACATTCAGGAACTTCTATTAGGGGATGACTTTGTGAATGTAACTGATAAGGAAAAGCTTTTGAAAGAGGAAACATCCTACATGGCATCTGATCATTCATACCAAAGAGAAAACCCACAAATGTCTTCATTATAAGAAAACCTTATTATTTGTTATCTGAAGACTCATTAGAAATTGACTTAGCTTACAACACTGTTCTCCATCTGAGAATTCATCCCAGGAGAGAGAGACAGGTTATTTTGCACTTAGGACTACTTTCAGCTGCATCTTTCTTCTCATTTACAGTGCAATGTTATCTCAGGAATGTTTATAGAAAGGAAGTGATATAGAGTGAAACATCGGCACTGCTTCTTTCACACTATTCCACTCAGTCTATGGGACTCGTTCATGGATTTCTTAGTTTATTTGGGTGGAGAGGGTTCTGGTTTAGGAGACAAAGAACCTTGACTGTCTTGTATATGCATTCAGTGCTGTCCAGTGTTGAGAGTTAGAAAGTTGAGGTCAAGTCTAGAAACTTACTAAATATCCTCCTTATTGTACAATATTGTCTCTGTCTTGTGGAGCACACGTTTTTAAGAAGAATATGAAGGTGTGAGTGCAGTGAGTGTGGGAATACTTTTATATTTAAGGGAATAAGGAAACATGTTTTTGTGTTTGTGTGTGTAGTGCTAGGAATTGAACCCAGGGCCGCAAGCAATTTAAGCATGCAGTATACCAGTGAGCTACATCCAGCCCCAGGGTATACAAATGAATGGACACTTGTTATTGCACCACTTAAGACTGGCAAACTCTCTTTAATATGGTTTCAAACACCACTCAGAATTTTTCTTGATCCCCTCTTTTCGTTTACTTGAAGCTATGTAGTAAGTCTTAAAATTGGGTAAAATGATTCCTTTTCTTTCTTTTATTTCAAGTTGATTTAGTACTTTTTTTTTTACTTTCGACGTACACTTTAGGATTTGTTTTTCTGATATCATAATGAAATACCAGTTATTTGATAGATGTTGAGTTAAATCTAGGATCAGTTTTTTGAGAATTGTATCTTTCTATTGTGGTGAGTCATCCATTTATGAATGTGGTTTTATGAACATGGTATATCATTTTGTTTATTTAAGTATTCCTTGACTTATTCCTTTACTGTTTTATAATTTATAGCATATAGCTTTTGTATATTTTTAATAAGATTTATACCTTTTTTTTAACAGTTATAAAATTAATATTTAAACTTTCAATTTCCACATGATGTTTGGCAGTATGCAGAAATGTAATTAGTTTTTGGATATTGTCTTACTATCCTTCAACTTTGCTGATGTATATCTAGCATTGTTTATATTTGTTTTGCTAGAGAATCCTTTGGATTTTAAACAAAGAAATGTCCTCTGTAAATAGAATCTTTTCTTCTTTCCCATCTTGCATATCTTTTATTTCCCTTATTTTAATTCACTAGCTAGGATTTTCAGTATGATGTTGAATAGGATTAGTGAGAACTCATCCATACTAGTAGGGAAGAAATGTTCAGTTTCTCATAAATAATGATGTTGAACATAAGATTTATTTTAGCCAAAAATAGAAAATTTTTTTCTATTCTGAATTTGCTGAGATTTTTTTATTACTGATTGTTGAAATTCGTCAAATGTTTTTTCTCAATCATTTGAAATCATCATTATATGTTGCTTCTATATTCTGTTGATATGATATGTCGTATTACTTTGAGATCTGAATATTTAGCCAGACTTGCGTCCATGGAATAATCCCCAGTTGGTCATGGCATGTGATTTTGTCTACCATTATTCCATTTGCTAGTGTTTTGTAGAGGAAAATTTCCCTGATTTCATTAATTATAAGGAAGCTGTGTTTTCTTCATTGCTTTTGGACTGTCTTCATCTGGTGTCAGGGTGACGCTCATCTCCCAATATGAATGGGGAACCCTTCTCGTCTTTTCAGTTATTTGGAAGATAATTTGTAGAATCGGTGTAATTCCCGTCATGCTTGGTAGTATTCTCCAGTGAAGCATTTGGACCTGGAGGTTTTTCTTTAAGATGTTTAATTATATATTTATTTTATTTTATATGTATAGAACTTATAAGAGTATTTCATATTGGATAAATTATCATGGTTCTTTTCAAGGAATTGTTTTATTTCATGCAAATTATTTAATTTGTTTGAACTATTTTCTATTATCCTTTGATTGCAGCAGGATATGTTCTTTTTTTTTTTAAACGAATTACCATCTTAAAGCATGCAGTTTTTTTTTTTTTTTTTAAGAGAGAGTGAGAGAGAGGGGGACAGAGAGAGAGAGAGAATTTCAACATTTATTTATTTTTTCTTAGTTTTTGGCGGACACAACATCTTTGTTGGTATGTGGTGCTGAGGATCGAACCCGGGCTGCACGCACGCTGGGCGAACGCGCTACCGCTTGAGCCACATCCCCAGCCCAGGATATGTTCTTATATGCCTTGTTTTACTTCTGATATTGGAAATATATCCATTTTCTCTCTCTCTTCTTTGTTTCACAGTACTCTGGATGGAACCCCAGGGTGCTCTAATGCTGAGCTCCATCCCCAGCCCTTTTTGTTTTGAGACAGGGTCTTCCCTAAGTTGCCCAGGCTGGTCTTGAACTTATGAACTTCCTGCTTCAGCCTCTTCAGTAGCTGGGAGTGTATTCATTATAGCCATTCTGCTTTTGTCTTTGTAATCTTTTTTAGATTTTTTCAATTTTCTCAGTTATTTAAAATTGTGTCAATTTTTTTCTCTACTATGTGTTCTTAATTCAACCCATTTCTTGGATCTGTGTTATATCCTTTCTTCTACCTAATTTATTTATATTTGGCTCTTATTAGTTTCTCAAAGTGGGTGCTTATTGATTTGAAGCCTTTTTCTTTTCTAATGTAAGCATGAAATTCTTTGAATTTGAATCACAGTACTGTTAGCTTCATCTTAATTAGTTTTAATTATATTTCTCCAATTTTGAAATTCTTGGTGAGACTTCATTTCTAATGCATGAGTTATTTAGAAGTTGTTTAATTTCTTAGTGTTTTGAATATTTCCTTTTATCTATTTGTTGTTGATTTCTAACTTGTTTCACATTTGTCCTGTTTATATTTGTTAAAGTCTTTCATGACCTGTTTTGTATGGCTTCTTGCAAAAAAAAAAAAAAAAATGCATGTTCTGCTGTAATTGGGTGGAATTTCTGTAGAGGTCCAGATGATCCTGTTTGTTGGTAGTGTTATTCAGATTACCAAGAGAATGGTGCTAAACTCCTGAACTATATGAATGGAAGTATCTGTTCCTCCTTGTAAGTTCTATCTTCTATCAATTTTTCTTTCATATACTCACAGCTCTGTGTTTGGTATGTACATACATGTAAGTTTACTAAGACTTCTTTGTGTATTGGCCTTTTTATAACTTTTTCTGGTGGAGGTGGGGTACTGGGGATTGAACTCAGGGCCACTCAACCACTGAGCCACATCCCCAGCTCTTTTTTGTATTTTATATAGAGACAGGGTGTCACTGAGTTGCTTAGTGTCTCACCATTGCTGAGGCTGGCTTTGCCATCCTCCTGCTTCAGATTCCCAAGCCACTGGGATTACAAGTGTGCACCACTGCGCCTGGTTTTTATCATTTTTTAACACCCTGGTTTTGCCCCTGTAAGTACTTTTAGCTCTGAAGTATACTTTATCTGATATTTGTATATTCACTCTTACATTTTTTTTTTTGGCTAATCCTCGTATCCTTTATATTTTTTCATTATTTTATTTCAGACCCTTAACATATTTGAAACAAGTTTCTCATGAATAGCATACACACTGATTCTGCTTTTATATCCTTTTTATACATTTGTCTTTTAATTGGTATATTTAGGCCATTTAAAGTAATTATTGATTTGCTAGCATTCACAGCTCCATTTTATGATTTGAATTTTTTTTCCCTGCTAACTGTTCCTCTCTTGTGTTTGATGTTTTCTTCCCATTGGTTAATTCACCTTATTTTAGAATTCCATGGATGTATCTGTAGTTTTGTATGTATTCTATCCAATAAGCAATTTTACTTCTCAGGGTCATCATGGCCATTGTTTTTATAATTTTTCTTGTTCCCCACAAATGAATGAATTCTCCTCAAGGCATTTTACTGTCAGTGGTCTAGAGAGCTTACCCAAATCATGTTTCCCAGTTGAACATTTCTCATGTCCTTTACCCACTGATCATCCTGCATCTTTACTGTATTAATACACACTGATCCCAGTATGTATGTATCCACCATGTGGCTATAGGTGAGCAATCATATAAGATCAAGTAAACATGGTATTACTATGTGTTAGAGATTGGGAAGTTTTACACGTATCAACTGTTTTTGCCGCAGTCTGGCTGGGCACAAAATAACTGAACCGCCATGAAGCACTTGTAGGTTCAAACAGCAACTCTTTATTCCCGAACTCCACCAGCACACTCCACACACACTCCCGGGAACTCTCATCCTCCACCGGGCTCCAGGCGAACTCTCTCGGGAACTCCAAAGTAGTGGGCATCTAAGGCAGCCCTATTCCTGCAGCCCTATTCCCGGAGCAGCAGGGTCCATATACAACTCAATACATAGCCTGTTTCAATCCAGCATCATCCAGTCACAGCAATTATAATTTAATTATCATCATCACCTCTTAACCACTCCTTCTGGCGCCATCCTGACTTGGCTGTGGCCCTCAACAGTTTTAACCTTTATAACATCCTTTTTTTGGGGGGGGGGTGTTACTGGGGATTGAACTCAGTACAGTAATTACAGGGATGCTCAACCACTGAGCTACATCCCCACCCCTATTTTGTTTTTTTAAAGAGATAGGGTCTCACTGAATTGCTTAGAACCTTGCTTTTGCTGAGGCTGGTTTTGAACTCACAATCCTCCTGCCTCAGCCTCTTGAGCTGCTGGGATTACAGGTGTGTACCTCTGTACCCAGCTCCTTTATAACATCTTTATGTATTAGTTATTTTCCCATTTTATAGAAAGATGAGGGAATATGCCAAAGGTTACCCATTTGTGAAACTTGAGCTTAGGGACTGGAGGCAATGTTGGTTGAYTCCAGAATAAAAAACTTTTAACTTTATTGCCTATTATAGGGTGGATCTTTGTTCTCCTGGTCATTATTCATTTTTACTAGAATGGATGAAACAGGCTTATTTATTTGAAACCTTCTATTTTTAAACATTTAAGAATACATCTTGGCCATCTCTTCAAGCAAGTAAGATGAACCATACTCTTAAAAGGGGTGTAGTCTGTTGTAACTGTAGAAAATTTAGAGAATGCCTGGGTTTGAGAAATAGGGGAGATGGAAAGTAAGGAGGAGCAGAAAAGGGCCAAGGCTTGCATTTGTCTTTAGATGTTTTTTGAGGTGCCTGAAAAACAACTCTGTGAATCTGCCTAACTTTTGCTTTATTGCCCAAACCAGATCACTGTAGCCCTCTCTCCTCTTCCTTTTATTGTCCCCATAGTGAGCCTCTGCTCCATTCTGTGCATTCTATCTTTTGTTTTTTTAATAGACACTTAAGTATTTGTTAGGTGAACAGCCACATATAGCAGGGTGTTTTTGTAATGATTTTTGAGTCCTTCACAGTGTTCACCATAAAGAATGGGCACCATCTATGACATGATGACCTTACAGAGGATATGCATGGACTTTTGTGGACAGATGTGCAAAATTTTAGAAGTCATAATGAGTGACTGTTGGAGTCCTGAGGACAACCTCCAAGTTTGATTTACTAGGAAAATTCAGAGAATTCATCATGTTGTCATGGTCAGTGGTTATCATTTATTATAGCCAAAGGATGTAAAGCACTTACTAAAGGGAGAGACTCATTGGCTGAGGAAACCAGGCACTACTTTCTTGAGCCTGTCTCAGTGAAGTCATATTAGATGTGCTTAATGTAAGCTTTATCTGGAACTTAACAATCACATATGAGATTCTATCAGGGAATCTTTTGATGCTCATTGCAGAGAATTTGCACTGGACATGTTTTCCAGAACATACAATTCCAGAYCTCCAAAAAGATAGCAGGTGTTCCTCATAAGCCATATTGTTGACACAAACAATTAAGGCACATAGACCTGACCACTTTTCATTTCTGGGAATAATGTGCAATCTGAAAAATAATGTCCCAAACTCCAGCCAGGTGTGAAACTTGGAAGCTCAAAGGATAATCAGTCTCCAGCTTACTATGTTGTATCTTCAGTCACTTAAAAGGGACTCATCTACTAAATTCAAAATTCTTTATCATTAAGCAAATATAATTTTCTACAACATATATCAGTTATAGCTTTCAGATGAAGCCTTACACATATAAACCATTAATTTAATAAGTGGCAGTTCTTAAACCAGTATTTAATTTAGGAAACACAAGGTACAGCTGGGTACCATGGTGCATGCCTATAATCTGGGCAACTTGGGAGGCTGAAGCAGGAGGATTGCATGTTCAAGCCAACCTCAGCAACTTAGCCAGGCCTTATTTTAAAATAAAAAATAAAAGGGCTGGGGATGTGACCCAGTGGTTAAGCATCCCTGGATTCAATGCCTGATGGGGAAAAAAAAAAAAATAAACAAAAAAACAGAGGTAGTCTGGTGAGAAAAAACATTTTTCTCTGCCTAATATGTACACATAAATACATTGGCAAGTGGTCTGACTTGCAAATATTCCCTGTTAGCCTTTCTTTCTGTAAAGATGGAAGATAAATGCTGTGTATTTCTATATCACATGTCAGTAATTTCTTTGTTCCTGCTATTGAATGTTATATCCTCTGGTTATAGCAAAGATTAAAGAATATGGGGTTCATGAAGACTTCATGCATCATTAATTTGAGATTAAAGAACATCTTATTGCAGACTTAGTCACTTACAGGTCTGTGAGTCTATTTTGGAGAGAGTGAGCACAGTACGCTCCACCTAAGAGGGCCCTCTACACAGACAAGCAGGAGACTTAGAGGAATCCAGTCTCTTACTGTGTGTGCAGCTTACTTTTCACACTGAGTGGCCCACACCTGGCTTTTCCTTTCTGCACTTGTCTCCATAGCGTTTAATGATGTGCTTCAGTCTTGAGGATTAAAGACAATGTTTGCTTACAATTTTTAAATTTTAGTCATAAGCAATAATGTGTTTATGTTAGGCATTTCTTTTTTTTTTTAAGAGAGAGAGAGAGAACTTTTTAATATTTATTTTTAGTTTTCAGCGGACACAACATCTTTCTTTGTATATGGTGCTGAGGATCGAAACCGGCCGCACGCATGCCAGGCCAGCCACATCCCCAGCCCTATGTTAGGCATTTCACAACAAAATGGTCTTAGTTATGTTATTAGATGTTCACTTTATTTTGCTTCCTTCAGAGCACCATCAAGGGCATTGACCTGGCAGTCAGACTATGCTTTCTGTCCTTGTTCTTAACTACTGAAGACCTTTAAGAAAATTCTTATCTCTTCTGCCTGTTTATCAGGGTCTGGCGAACGAAGCCACCAACTCCCTGCCATTACTACCCCAGGGCTAGATGTCAAGGAAATAGGATGGTCTCTACTGACTAATTAGCCAATCCTAAACCTTAGTTGGCTTACTTGCCTTGCCTGCTCTGTGCTGAAAAAGCACAATAAAGGCTCTTGACCTTGCTTTCCCCTCACTTGGTGACCAACTCTATGCTTTTCCACCTGGCCTCACGTTATGGTGTGTGACATTCCTCTTGGGGACCTTAACAAAGGACCAAGACATGTCTTGGCAATTGTACCAAGGTCATTTGGCTCACCACCCCTGGGCAGTAAAATTGGCATTTAGAAATGACCCAGCAAGTCATTAATAAGTTGGTAAATTTAAGTTCAGGAAAGCAAACAAGCTTTTTCCGCGGGATTTCCAACAGGGTGTTGGGGATCAAACAAGAAAAGATTAAGAACTATGGACCGAAGAGGGTCAGTGCCGAGAGGAACTGTTCAAGTAGTGACCAGACACCCGAGGTTCTAAGTGGGCTTTCWGAAAGCGAGCCTCCCCGTGGCCCGTCACTTCCGACACTGCGGGGAAGGGTCAAGCCAACTCCTSCGGGGTCTCCTACACAGACGTCCTCCGGACGCACTTCCGGCCTTTACGAAGGCGCCGTCCCCGGGCCTGCCTAACGCTCCCTCTCCAGGAGGCCCCCGGTCCCCTGGGCCGCGAGCACCGGCAGCAGCGTGGTCTTTCAGCCGTTTCCCCCGCACAGTCACTCGCCCTCTCCGGCCGGTCGGTCCCCGCGACGACTCGGGCAGCGATCACCTGCTTTGCCTTCACTCTCCCGCTCCGACTTGGGCCTCGGACATCGTCAGGACGCCGCCCACCCCTCAACTGTCCACCTTCCCCGCCTCTCCCTCCGCAGACGCCGGGCATCGTCTCCGCCCGCCACGCGGAGGCCGCACAGGGGAGCAGCCCGCCTCCCGAGATTCGGCCTGGCTGGGCGGATAACCGACGGTCTGGACCCCCGGTTACAAAAAATAAAAGAAAAACAACAACAACAACAAAAGAACAGCGCCTGAGGCGGATTCGCACTTGGGGGGGCAGCCTTGAGGCAAGGCCGCGCTACCCAGGGAGCACTGCGGCGCGCCCTGGCCAATGAGGGCCCGCGACAGGCCGCTTCCGGCGGCGGCGCTACGTCACCTCCAGGCGCCCGGCAGCCCGGGCCGGCGCAGGGACTGCATCGCGGGTGCAGTGTTTCGGCTCGGCCGTTTTGGGGTCCGGCCTCCCGCACCCCGCCGGGTGTCCAGGGCCGCCCGCGCGCTGGGAACCGGGAGACAGGCGGGCGGCAGGGTCGTCCCCGGCTCAGCATGGCGGCGGCGCTGCTGGACTCCGCGAAGGTGAGCGGCCAGGGTTCGGCTTTGCAGCTCCTCTGCTAGTGGTTCCTCTGGCCCTCCAGCCCCGGGGGCCTCTGACGGTGYTTAAAGGGTGAATGAGGCTTCCTCCTGAGGTCTCCAGCCTCGTCCTGAGGCTCAAGTCTAAACACCCGCCCCGGAGGCCACCTCCGACCTCATGGCCTTCCGTTCTAGGTACTCTTGACTCCCAAACCTGACAGACGGTGCTGAGTTCCCTTCCGCCTTGTCGCCCTTGCCCTTGCCTTTGTTTTGCCTGGGACACTGCCTCTACGTCTTTGCAGGACTTCTAATGTTCTCTGGTTTCTGCTCAGGCTTACCTTGTTTGGAGAGGCCTTTTCCTAACAGTTCAGGTTAAGTGGCCCTTCCGTGTCTACTCGGTGTCTGGAATTTTTGTGCAGGGATTTTGGTAAAATTAAAGGCGCTTACTGGGTTAGTTTGCCAAGAATGTTGTGGGAGCAAAGAGGAAAGAAGTAATTGCAGAAGAGCCATAATATCAGTCCTGAATCGATTCTTTGCTGTGCACTGATAGGAATTAGGTATTGTGGGGAGCCATTCTCACACGTGATTGGGCAACTCCCGCTTTGGGTGTGAGGTGCTCTGGCTAAACTGTGTCGGAGCTTTCCCGACCCTCTCCTGGTGCGAGAGCCTGTCCGTGTGGTGTGGGGGTGTGACTTGACCATTGACCCTGGGGCCAATCACTGACCCTGATCTTGGAGTGCTGCCCCCCTCAACCTTCATTGGATGGAATTCTCCCCTGAATTTCTTGTTCCCCAATAAAAGGCCACACTCCCTGGCGTTCTCTCTCTCTCTCTCTCTCTCTCCCGCCACCCCCTCTCGCTAACTGAGTCTGTGTGTTTATTTCGATCTCACTAGCTAACTTTTATGCCAAGAACCTCTTTAATGAAACCAGTGCGCTGGTCGCATGGTAGAAGGNTCTCCCTCTCTCCCTCTCTCCCTCTCTCCCTCTCTCCCTCTCCTGCTAGCCCTGAAAGGTAACTGAGTCTGTGTGTTTATTTCGATCTCACTAGCTAACTTTTATGCCAAGAACCTCTTTAATGAAACCAGTGCGCTGGTCGCATGGTAGAAGGTATAACTTCATTTAATTGCCATCATCTTAAAGTTAGGATCTTTCATCATTACTGTTTTACATAAGAGGAACTTGAGGTTTACAGAGGATGAGTTACCTGCCCCAGAGAATGATAGTTTTTATGTATTGTAAACTAACAGCTATTAACAGCGCCTGTGTTCACTACCCAGAGGGACAGGGAGGCTGGGGTAGACACCTAAAATAAACTTTACGAGGGGAGCATGCTTTCTTCCCAAATGTAACATTGGGCACATGGTGACGAGGCATTTCAGGCAGGTGGAACTGTGTGTGGACACAAGAAAGCTGTATTGGTTAAAAGGACTCCTCAGAGGACCTGTCTGGTTCCTTGCCCCCAACTGATGACACATCCTAGGAGAGATGGTGAGACTTTTTGATGGCTGTTCCATCCTGCATATCCAGGAAAAACATGTCTAGTCAAGGGCCCATGTTCTCAACCACCCGCTGTGTCCTCTTTGACCATTGTACCCTGTTTCTGAAGTGTCTTGGCTCAACAATGAGTGCTGGCAAAATTCAGGTAGGAAAAAGAAGCAATGACTCATTATCAATTCTCCCTGGGCATCTTTGAAGCCCAGGAGGAACAAAGAAAGCCAAGGGAACTTGTTTAGGCCCTGCTACTTCCCAGGCAAGAGCCATAAACTCAGATGATTCATCTTTGAGGTGGGTGATGGTGATTCCTCTTCTGTACTCTTCTGTGCATGTCTGTGGAACTATTTTCAGAAGTGCCTGAGATGGGTATAGCAGTAAAAATTTATCTGGAGTTCTCTATATCCTTATCAACTGAGGATTAACTACAAACAGAAGAGTGTGATGGTTGCATAATTAGACTGTAGACTAGAGGAATGGGTCCAGATTCTGCCTCTGCAGGTGAACTTGGGGTGAGCTCATAGAGCTTCTTGGACTTCAGGTCTCTGAGGTTGAAATGGAAATGATGATGGTGTTGACCTCAGGGGCTGTGGCCTGTTATCTGTGTTTCTTTAAAAATACTTTTAATTCTTATGACTGTTCATAGTGATATAGAAAATACTGGGGGTAGATGCTCAGACAGATTAAATAAGGGCTCCACAGTCACACATAAGAGGAAGCAAGTGTTGATTTCCAGAGCTTGTTTTTAACCCTAGAAATCTGGCTCCTGAGCTGGGGACTTAAGATATTTTAACATATAAAGTCTCCAATACAAGCCAGGTGCACAGCGGGGACCAGTAAGACTCAGGTGCTGTTGCTCTTGCTTCTGACATTGTTTTTACTGTTGTTATTTTCTCCATTCCTCTGATATCCCCGAGCACTACCTTTCTGTGCCTCATAGTCCACTCAGCATTTTCCTAGCCCTGTTTTGAGTCCCAGTGTCTTTCTGCTAAGAGACTTTGCTTTCCTTTGCTGCTGTAATATGTCCAGAGCAGTGTCACCTCCTCGAGCCCAGTATAGAGCTGGGACTTCTGGAGGCATTTGGTGATTGGGACTTTGGGTCTCCACATTTTTTACAATGCTCAAGTGACAGGTACTAATATTATCCAGCAGGCGCACAGCAAATACTACTGCCCGTCTTTGACATTTCAGGTGTCTGTGACCTTCAAGGATGTGGCTGTGACCTTCACCCAGGAGGAATGGAGGCAGCTAGATCTGACCCAGAGGACCTTATACTGGGATGTGATGCTGGAGACCTGTGGGCTTCTGGTTTCTCTGGGTAAAGTCTCTCCTTTTTGTCATATGGGCCACCAGAAGCCTCCCTTCCTCCCTCTGGCTCAAGGGCTGGCTGGTGAAGAAGGCCTCAGGAGCTGCCTTTCCTGTTCTCCACAATTTGGGGCTTTGTGTATGTTGTGTGTGCTCAACTTGTTTTTTTTTTTTTTTTTTTTTTTTTTTTTTTGATGGAGGGGCTACAGGGATTGAACCCAAGGGCATTCAGCCACTGAGCCACATCCCCACCTATTTTGTATTTTATTTACAAAGTCTGAGTTGCTTAGCATCTCACCATTGCTGAGACTGGCTTTGAATTTGCCATCTTCCTGTCTCAGCTTCGCGAGCCACTGGGATTACAGGAGTGTGCCACCGTGCCTGGTTTGTGTTCATCTCTTCTTGATTTCCTGTGTCTCGGCAAGAGTTGGGAAGAGAAACAGTTTGGCTCTGGTAATAGTCAAAGGAGAGGGGTGTGATGGAAGGAAATTTGCATGTTTTGCAAAACCCAGAGGCAGCATTTTCAGCCAGGTCCCATGGGGAGCTGGGACAGCACCTGGGAGAAAGCATGACTGTGCTGTGACTTCTGAGTCTCCTTCTGCCCCTGTCTTTGCACAATGGCTTTTTTKTGTGTGTGTGTCACATGGATTATCTCTGAGGCCCACACATTTCTTGCCTATTTTTCTACATATTTATTGTTTATTATTATTATTGTTTTTCTGTTTACATTCCTTTTAAAAATTCTTCTAGCAAGTATGGAAAATAAGGCCATTACAGTGAGTCCCTCCTTCTGTTTAATTCATTTACTTTAAGAGAGAAACTTTCACTGCAAGATGCCATTCTTTGCGTTTGGCAGTAAAAGTTATTTCTGAGCTGGGCATGGTGGCACGTGCCTATAATTTCTGAGGCAGGAGGATCACAAGTTCAAAGCCAGCTTCAGCAAAAGTGAGGTGCTAAGCAACTCAGTGAGACCCTATCTATAAATAAAATACAAAATAGGATGGGGATGTGGCTCAGTGGCCAAGTGCCCCTGAGTTTAATCCCCAGCCCCCCACCCCAAAAAGTTATTTCTGTTGTGAGATATTGATAATAGTAGCTGATATTTGTGCAGATATCTATATGTACCCAAATGACCATGTGGGATTCCCTCCCAATTTCTTACTTTTTAGTGGTTCATGAAATATTGAAGGCTGGAGTCACTGCGCTTTACTCTGGCCTCTGTTCCCTGAAGAATGAATCTTCCTAATGATGGCTGCTTCTCACCTCCACAGCTCAGTTGGTCTAAGGCTGTTAACTCCACACAGATGTGCTTGCTGGCTCATTAGTGTAGCACTGGGAAACCAGCGTCGGGGGCCAGACCCCAGAGTCTAGGCCCACTTGTACTGCTCTTGAGCTGTGTATTTCTGAGAAAGTTACTAGACCCCTCTGTGCCTCAGTTATCTCATGGGTAGAATGGGCCAGTGTAGCATTGCACAAGGTTCTCATGCATGTACCTGACTCACAGTAAGTGCCTGGTGAGACTAGCCTTGTGCAGGTTATCAGTTTTGACCCCCTGTTGCTTTCACCACTCTTGCAGATACCATCAACATATCATTCTTGTGATGATCCTCTTCACTCTCGGGAATGAGATTGCATAATTTTGTCATCAAATTGGCCAGATGCTTGAGGCAACTTAGGTTTCCATCTTGGCCCAGCCAGTCACCATTTCCCTAATTCTGACAGTCATTATCTTCCTGATCCTTGGTATCTATCTGGGCAACAGTGCTAATCACACTGTGTACTTTAAGTGTGTGCTGTGAGAAATTCTCAGGACAAAATATTTTATGCAAGGCCAATAGGAAAAGCAAAGTAACATTTTGCTTACTACATAAAAAAGACTAGATCAATAAGGACACATATTTCTTTGTGAATGAAAAGATGTAGTAATACTTTAAGTGGTTTTTTTCCCTACTGCATATATTTTAATTTAGAATTCACAAAATATAGTGGATTTAAATTGCTAGGCATAGTCCTTAAGGGGTATATTTGACTCCACCATGTAAATATCAGGTTTTTACTTAGTATTAGGAGTGAAAACTCCATGACAAGGTGGCAGATTATGTCATGGAGTGACATGAACTCGAGAGCCACACCAGTGAAATCTTCTCAGGAAGTGACATCTGTCTCAGACTCTTAAGTTTAATAGTCAGCTAGAAGTGGCAAGGTATAGGTGCAGTGGCATTTTGATAGAAGGACTGGAGGAGGTGAGGGGACTGCAACTGCAGAGCTGAAGGAAGGGCTGCCTGATCACTGAGTCCAGTGTTGGGCACGTGGCAGGCACAAGTGACCACTTGCTTAGTGATGACTGATGAGTTCTGAGCTATAGGTTGGGATCTTTCAGGTGAACCTTCTGTGGGTCTCTGTGCCTCCAGAGTACTGTGTCTTTAACCCCAGCCAATTTGTGAATAGTATTTGGCTGCAAGTGACAGAGCACCTCTGTCTTGTAAGGAATGTGTTATCCTACCTCATAAGACTCCTGGGTTACCGTGGCTGACCCAGTTATCTGGGGTTTATTGGGTTGGTTTTTGCTTGTTTTTTGTTCTTTTGCTTCTTCTGCTTGGTCTATGTCTTTAGGCACATGCCCTCACAGAAGTCCCAGAGTGCCCCAGGTAAGAGGAATGAAAGACCCCCCGCTCATTTAGCCCTTTTTGGATTACCAGCTTCCTCTTTCTTCAGTCACTGGTGTAGGTCAGCTGCCCACCCCAGACCTCGAAGCATCAGGGAATGCTGTGTGCCAGAGGGATATCGGGATGCTTCTACCTCTTTGGGGACCACAGTTACCCAGAATGTTTAGTCTGATGCCCAGGCTTACCACAGAGATTTCCGGTTGGTCTGAGGGGCAACGAGACATTCCTAGGTCTTAGCAGTTCACACAGGTCAAATACATGTGACTTTGAGTGGTCAGAAAATAACCTCCAGGAAATCATCTGACCATGCTGAGCTTCGTAGGTGGAGACTGGAGTTGGGTCTCTCTGCAGCTGTTTCTCTTGTCCGCGGTGTTGGGTCCCAGAGTGAAGCTTTGCCTTTTGTTTCCAGGAAGCAGTTCAGCATCTTGCTCACTTGGATGGGAGCAACTTCATTTCAGGTTTTCATSCCTGTCCTGAAGCTACAGGCTAGACCGAGGATTTTCTTCTCACTAGGGTCCCTGTGTCCTTTGTTCTCATGCACAGACTGTCCTCTGTTTAAATCAGAGCTGATCTGCTAGTTGGAGCACAGCCAGGAGTCACAGAGAAGAGGGACCTTTCCCAAGGCTCCTGTCCAGGTGGGTGCCAACAGCTGCAAGGGTGGGTTTGTGACAGCTTGAAGAGTTGGAGGTGATATTGCCTTTGAACTTTGAGGGAGCCTTTTTTTTTCTTGTGGCCTCTCTGGGGACTTGGGCCTTTTAATCTGTGGTTTCTTCAGCCACTGATGCCACACAGCTCCTGGGTACTCAGCAGGCACAGTCTCTAAGTCAGGCACTTTGCTCTGACTGCTCAGCCTCAACAAGTAGCTTTGACACAGACAGCCTCAGGAATTGGGGAAATTGTAAGACCTCATTGTGCCTTTGTGATTTCAGCTGAGGTAGATCTAATTGCACTAACAAATGTACTCAGATCTCCCTGGTTTGGAATATAAAAACTATTTTCTCACCACTGGGACCATCTGGGTTAAGGGGGACTCTGCACCACAGTTTTTCATGGACCCAGGTTTTTTCTGTGTATAGCACAAGGAGTCAGTGTGTCCCTGGCATGCTATAGTTGGCAAGGGGCGACCAGGAAGGTAAGATGTCGCACCCTCTTTTGTGTACCTGACATCCTCATGTTCTACTGACAAGATAGCTGGACACACTTGTGTGCGTGGAACTGTGTCAGAAGAGAAGAGTGAGTGTACCATGTGGTAAACATCTCAGTACGCCGCTCACCTAAGCAGTGGTGGTAATGATGGTTTGTACGTCATTGTGTTGAGGATGTGATCAATCGTGTGGAACGACTACACAGTGTGCCTGACTTCAGTGAGTGGCTCAATAAGAGTAAGCTGTTAGCATTGTTCGTGCTCTGCTAGTGCTAATGAATATATTGATTTTATAAACATACATGCATGCATATACATATGTAATGTGGACTGACTCAGGGGTATTTCACCACTAAGATAAGCCATACCTCCAGCGATTTTTATTTTTTGAGACAGGGTCTTGCTAAGTTGCCCAGGCTGGCCTTGAACTTATGATCCTCCTGCCTCCTGAATTGTGCATAGTGGTAGTATATGATGTTTCCTTCTGAACTTGAGGAAATGAGGCCCATTGAAATCCTCTGTGCTCCATCTTTTCCTGCCTTAACCCTTTCACTCTTCAAGTGTCAGTCACACTCAGAGGGTTCCCTGCTCTGTCTTTTCATTCTTCCCATTTGGTGGAACCTCAGGTGACATTTGGCCTCTCTGCCCCAGATCTGGGCTGCTGAAGGCACTAGGGCTATGGTGATTGGCTTCACCATTGAGTCATGGCCTCTTRCCCAGGCCCCTTTGGCTGTGTCTCCATTGCCCCTTCCCCCACCCATCTTTGTTTGATTATTTGTGGCACTAGGGATGGAACCCAGGCTGCACGGTTGCTAGGCAAGCCCTCTGCCACTGAGCCACAGCCACTGTGTCCCCCCGCCCATCTTAATGCAGATCAGGGATCCCCTGTTCCAGCCACTTCTAGATTTTTTTTTTTTTTTTTTAAATCTCAAGACTTCTATGCTGGCTTGTGTTGGATATTATTTCTTTTTTTTTTAATTTTTAATAGAAGGATACATTTTATTTTTTTATTTTTATTTTTAAAGAGAGAGAGAGAGTGAGAGAGAGAGAGAGAGAATGAGTGAGTTTTATTTATTTTTTAGTTTTTTTCAGCGGACACAACATCTTTGTTTGTATGTGGTTCTGAGGATCGAACCCGGGCTGCACGCATGCCAGGTGAGCGCGCTACCGCTTGAGCCATATCTCCAGCCCTGGATATTATTTCTTTATAAATGAATGTGGTAGAAATGAAGATGTTGGTTGATAGAGTATTGATTTTCTGCATTGTCAAGGCATTTCTAACTAATAATATAACAAAGTTACAGGGGAGATTTCTGCACTTAATAGCAAAATTGTGTGGTGTTCTGTGGAAAGTGAAAAAGTTTAAAGAGTCCAAGRAACACAGAGATTTTGAATTCCAGGGATCTCAAACAATACCAGGCATGGAGCCATGTTTCCATCTCCTTGTTCTTACTGAATTGTTGATTTCTTTGATGTTGTCATCTCTAATGAGTCCTTTTGATCATTGTATTTCCTTCAGGTAGCAACACAAATTCTAAAACCACAGAGCTCACCCCTGCTTGTCTGGCCTGGCCTGAAGGAGCCTCACATCAGCAACAATTGACACTGAGGACGTCAGGGGACTCCCAGTTGGGGCAGTATAGGGGTCTGGATGGGACATCTGAAATGCAGAAAGGACTCTCGATACCAGGGATTGAGAAGCTTCCTGAGCACATGGGCCCTGGACACTGAGGCATGAGAATGGCTGATTCTGTATATTCAAGGACTATGCACATCTCTCCAGGTGATGTTCTGTGTATCTGTGACACAGTGGACCAGATGCAGGTCCCTTGAAGGATTCAGGGGAAAATTCCTACAAATGCAAGGACTGTGGGAAAGTGTTTAATAAGAATTGTCTCCTCATTCGGCACAAGTGGATCCACTCTGGAGTGAAGCCCTGCACGGAATGTGGGAAGACCTTCAGCAAGAGCACACATCTCCAGCACCAGATGATCCACACCGGAGAGAGGCCTTACAAGTGCTTGGAGAGTGGGAAGGCCTTCAACCGCAGATCTCACCTTATAAGGCACCAGCGAATCCACAGTGGGGAGAAGCCTTACAAGTGCAGCGAATGTGGAAGTGGGAAGGCCTTCACCCACCGCTCCACCATTTTTTTTTTTAAGAGAGAGAATTTTTAATATTTATTTTTTAGTTTTCGGTGGACACAACATCTTTATTTGTATGTGGTGCTGAGGATCGAATCCAACGCCTCGCGCATACCGCTTGAGCCACATCCCCAGCCCCACCGCTCCACTTTTGTCTTGCATAACAGGAGCCACACTGGAGAGAAACCTTTTGTGTACAAAGAATGTGGCAAAGCCTCGCGCGATAGGCCGGGTTTCTTTCAACACTACATCATCCACACTGGGGAGAAGCCCTATGAGTGCACGGAGTGTGGGAAGGCCTTCAGCCGACGGTCATACCTCAAGTGGCACCAGCAGGCCCACACTGGAGTGAGACCCTTTGAGTGTAGTGAGTGTGGGAAGGCCTCTGTGAGAGCGCTGGCCTCATTCAGCACCACATCATCCACACTGGGGAAAAGCCCTACATGAGCATGGAATGTGGGAAGGCCTTCAGCCACATGTCTCACCTCAAACAGCACCAGCGCATCCACACTGGGGAGAAGCCTTACGTTTGCAGTGAGTGTGAGAAGGCCTTCACCCACTGCTCCACTTTCATCTTACATAAAAGGACCCACACTGGAGAAAAACCCTTTGAGTGCAAAGAATGTGGGAAAGCCTTTAGTGACAGAGGAGACCTCATTCGTCACTTCAGTGTCCACACTGGGGAGAAGCCCTATGAGTGCATGGAGTGTGGGAAGGCCTTCAGCCCACAGTCCCACCTCACAAGGCACCAGCAGATTCACAGTGGGGGAGAAGCCCTATGGGTGTATGGAATGTGGGAAATCTTTTTGCCGGAGTGCAAACCTCATCCAGCATGCCATCATCCTCATTGGAGAGAAGCCCTATAAGTGCAGTGAGTGTGGGAAGGCCTTCAGCCGCACCTCATCCCTCACCCAGCACCAGAGGATGCACCGTGGGAGAAACCTGTCAGCACAGCAGAGGAGGGCCCCTTTTTACAAGTTGGAAAGCTTCTGTCAACATCTCAGGACTCAGGTTAAGGAAAATTTTTTTTAATGTGACCACTGAGTAAAACCAGTGATCAAAGGCAACTTCCACCTCAGCCTCTGGCCATTCATGCCAAGAGAAACTCCTTTAGTGACATCTCTGAAAAAAGATGTCATAAATCACTTGACATCTGAAGAGTCAGGTCTGAAATGGACGCAGCCTAGACTTCTACGTCTGAGAGTTCCTCCGTGAGGGAGACCCAGTGATTACTATGCTCTTAGAAAAACCTTCAGCCACATCTTTCTTCTTAGTTTAAATTAAAATGTTATTTCAGGTATTTTTTTTAAAGGAGGAGGATAAGGCTTGGTGTGTAGCTTAGGGCTTCATGTGCAAAGTCCTGGGTTCAGTCCTCAGAGACAGCAGCACCACCAATGGAGAAAAGAGGAGAAAATGCAGGCACATCTTTGTTCTGGCCTCTTTGATAAGCACTTTGCCATCTCTTCATGATTGTACTTGGGAAAAGGAAAGTGTTGTTTCAGAAATGAAAGAGCCCTGTTTCCAGTGTGCACACTCATCGTGTCCAGTGTCAGAACTAGAGGCTTGTGTTGTGAAGTGCTTCTGTTCATGGAGATGAGGCTGCACACACAACTGCACATCTTCACTGCATTTGTGTGTGTGTGTGTGAGTGTGTATGTGTGTGTGTGTTGCTAGGGATTGAACCCAGGGCCTTGTGCATGCAAGGCAAGCACTGTACCAACTGAGCTATATCCCCAGCCCTCTTCATTGCACATTTAAAGCTGAGTCTTTTTAAACAACTATTTCTTATGCCTTAATCCACCCACCTCATACTTTCCTGATCCCAGTCTGTACATAGTCTTTATTTTCCTGTGGGATGGGGATGATAGTGTTCCTGACACAGTTAACTCAGCTGGGGCCCAGTTCTTCCCTCAGATTCAGCTTTCTCTCCTCTTATCCTTCCTGAAGCTTCTGTATGTTCCCCCAAGCAATTTTCTAGAGGTCAAATTAAAGCCAAAACAAAATAAAATGCAAGGCTAAATTAGGTTAAAGGAGCAGGATAAACACTTTAAGAAACAAAACACAAAAGCAATCTTATTTTTGATGTTATAAAAATATAACGGTGAAGATCCACCGTGGAGTGTCTGTAATGTCAACAGGTGAGCCTGCAGTTTCATGAGAGTCACCTTCATCACCAGGGACTTAGTCCCTGTTGACTACTAGTACTACTATGGATCCTCTTTTGGAGCGTAGGTTTTGAGCTACATGAAGTAGTATTACTCAGCATTAAAAAGGATGTTGTACAGAAGGATAGAAATAATCACATGTTTACTTTGAACTCTCCACTGAGCTTTTGAGGTGACCATGGGTAATTCACACTGGCATTGTAGGGAGCGTCATTTTGTGTTGTGTTAATCTGTGTCGTCATTGTTTTGGCAGTTCTTTGTTCCTTTCATGTAGTGTCTTAGAACTCTTCACCAAATTGTCAGTCCTGTGAATTTTTCCTTCGTCCTTTCTTTCTTGTAGGTCCTGCATATTTATTCTTCCTTTTCCCTTCCTTTCCCTTCTCACTTCTTTCCTTCCTCTCTCCCCCCCCCCACCCCTTCTCTCTCTCCCTCTCTTTCTTCTTTCTTCCAGGATCACTTTCCCACTGAGCTCCTTTTTATTTTGTGAGACAGGGTCTCACTAGTTTCTTAGGGCCTCCTTAAGTTGCTGAAGTTGGCTTTTTAAACTTGCTACCCTCCTGCCTTAGCTTCCAGAGTGGCTGGGATTATAGGCATGTGCTCCAGCACCTGGCTCTCATATTTTATCTTAAATTTTACCTTTTTTGTTTGAATCTCTGAACCATACTGTTAATTTTGTTTTACTGCATGAGGTTTTAGGTTTTTTCTCTTGCTGTTGCCTATGAATGTTCAGTTCCAGCACCATTTTTTTTTTCCCCTAAAGACTGGCCTACCTATATTTAATTGTGTTCCAGTAATTCACTTGCAGGTCAGCATGGGAAAAGAAAGAAAAAGAAGAAGCAGAGCAAGCGAAGCAGCAGCAGAGAAAAAAAAGTCCTTTATTGTGTACAAGCAATCTTTTTATAGTATTGTGAACAAAGAAGGCAGCCTTCCAATATCAATAAATCAGGTCTTTCAGCTAATTAAACATAGCATATAGAAGTTTTACTTTCTAATCAGAAGTGACCCGCTTCTCATGGCTAATCTACTTTCGGCCTGGAGTATGTTGAGCTCTGCTCTTTGTTAAGAACAGATAATAAAATTTTTCTCAGCGCCCTCCTAGCCCACTTGGCAGAACATCCCGTTTGCAGGCAAGTCCTCCCAAGGACAGCAGACACCTCGTTTTCAAGCATGTCCGCTGTTACCTTATCTAAACCTTGAAGAAGCCTCTCGTTTGCAAGTAGGCCCTCCCAAGGACAGCAGACACCTCGTTTTCAAGCATGTCCACTGTTACTTATCTATACCTTGACAGAATATCCCGTTTGCAGGCAGACTCCATCAAGGCATAGATACCTCCACGGACAGTAATAGTAATGCAGTTACATCTGATTCTCTACATAATTGCTTTTATGGCTTAGTCAAATATCATTGGGTTTCTTCATGTTGATCTCTTTCTGCAGTCTCTATTTTATTTATCTAATTGTCCATGTTATTGGCAGAGGCCAAAAATTCTGCTTACCAAACTATCTTGTTTTACTATGTTGGGTCTTCCAGTCCATAAATATGATGTCTGTTGTTTAGATCTCCTTCATTTATCTCATGTTTTGCAATTGTGGACATTTTTTAAATAGATTTTTTGTAGATATATCTTATGGAACCATGTTTTTGTGATATTTAGGGTTTTATTTTATTTATTTGTTTAGTTAGTTAGTTATGGGGTGTGCTGGGGATTAAATCCAAGAGCATTTTGCCACTAAGCTATATCCTCAGTCATTTTGAGACAAGGTCTCACTAATTTGCTGAAGCTGGCCTTGGAAGATCCTCTTGCCTCAGCTTTCTGGGTCACTGGGATTATAGGTATGTGCCACCATGCCCAGCTGTTTTTGTTTTGCTCTTTCTTTGTTGTCCAGACTGGCCTCGAACTCCTCAGCTCAAGTAGTCCTTCCTCAGCCTACAATCCTGGTAGGTGCTGACCATACCAGACTTGAAATTGAGGTTTTAATTTGATGTTGCACGTGATCTTTGCCTTTGGAGGGAAATATAATTTTTACATATTGACCCTGTAAGTTATGACTTTGGTGATCTCACCTATTAGGTCTAGCTGTATGTTTCAATAGATTCCTCAGGATTTTCTTAATAAAATATGTTATTAACAAATACAGAACCAATTTCTTGATCTATATCCTGTATCCCTTCACTTTCTTTTCCTCTCTTCTTTACTACCTAGATCTATACGTGTTGAATAAAATGGTTTAAAAAAAMTAATAAGATAAGAATTGAGGCCTGCACAGGCCCCAACTTCTCTCTATGGTTTGGGAATGCTATCTGCTTTGTATAACAAAATGGCGGTTTTGTTTTCTGGAAACAGTCATCATGTTCTCTGAAAAATCCTCTTACATGTTATCTTTGGCATTTGCCAGTGATAGTAGGGCTGGGTTGGAGGCCTTGTGAGTCTAGGGGTTTTGTTGAGGTCTGGAGTGATGATAGTGATCGTTACCAAAAAAATCCAGAGTGGGGCATAGATACCTCCAGAGCCTGGGATCATGGCAAGCATAGAAGTGTGTTCCTTAGAAAACCGGTATAGTTCTAAAAATTATCTTGTGATGTGTCATACACAAAATATATATGGTGAAATTTTCAATAAGGTCATTACTAGGCGGACCTCAAACATTGGGATAAAGGACAGAATGTTGGTCATGTATGCGGTATGAACTGAGGGAAAGCAAGTTTGTGTCTCGAAAGCTACTGGGAATGTTCTATCTTTTGCTCTGCCTGAGATTTCATGGGAAACATGTAGGGAGCCTTCGATCTGTGTAGTGAATATGTGTCTATTAATCTCATTGATACATGTATAAAAAGAAAAATAATTTTACTTGTGGACTCACACCTTTTCATTAAAAAAAAAGGAAAAAGCTTAGCATGCGCCCTGCATGAGCTCATTGGATTGGAAATTCCACCCAACACTGGAGAGGATAGTGTCCTCCAGAATTCACTGATTTTGTTGCTTTTCTTCATAGTTTGTTAACTTAAATGTGTACAACTAATAGTAGCTATGGTGTTTTGTCTGCTTTGAAATTTACATGAATAGTGCTATAGAGATACTTTTTTGTATTTCCAGGAAAAAGTACTGTATTCAGATATTTTTAAATGAATGCACACATTTCTAATTATCAGGTTTTTTTAACAATAGGTAAATGAAATGGTATTTCTTTAGACTTCCTTTTTAAAAATATTTTATTTACATTTTAGTTTTCGGCAGACACAACATCTTTGTTTGTATGTGTTGCTGAGGATCGAACCCAGGCCACACGCATGCCAGGGGAGCACGCTACCGCTTGAGCCACATCCCCAGCCCCTCCTTTAGACTTCCTTAATGGTACCTCATGAAAATGATGCAGATGACATTATTTAGGGTTTGTCATATGCAACCCTTCAAATTGAATCTCATCATAATTTTAAAACAAAACAAATCATATATATATATTGGCTCAGTGATAGCACACCCCTGGGTTCAATCCTCAGTAATGGAAAAAACAACAAACAATAACACAAAAAACAACTAGTACACTTGTGCCTTTATGTAAAACTTTACTCAGTATCTATGTGGCTAGTTTCCAAATCAGGGAGTAATTTTACTTAATATTTGCCCATAATACTTGCCAAGATGTATCCCTGACACAATTCCTCAGAATATATGTGCAAATGTGTTAATGCTAATGAGAACAATAATAGTTTTTTATTTATTGGTCAGTGTGTAAAGAGTAATTTTAATGTAAATTTTATGGGTAATTTAGTAGTATTTCTAATTTCCAGTAATGAGAGAGTTTGTTAAGGCTGAGTGCTCAATTCCATCCCCCAAATTTATTTCCTTTTCCCTTCCCCTCTCCCTCCTTTCCACCTCTTCTCCTCCTTTCTTTTTCATGGAGACTGAACTCAGGAGTACTCTACCACAGAGCTACTGTCCCAACCACCCCCTTTAAAAATAAATTGAGATAGGGTTTTACTAAATTATACAAGTTGGCCTTAACTTGGGACCATCCTCCTTCAACCTCCTGAGAAGATGGAATTACAGGTGTGTACCATCATGCCCAGTTTACTCTGTGCCCCCTCATGCCACAGGAGAAGAGGTGCCTCAGAAGAAGGGTCTAAGGAGTTCCAGGAGAGAAGGGTTAACTTAACTAAGTACCAGTGGGACCCTTGGCTTAGGTGATAATAAAGAATTTTAGCATTCACCATTGGGAGGCATAGAGGTTTATTTAGGAAAGTAGATTCACATTCATGGCTATCTCAAGTGAAAGATGGATTTTTGTAGTTCCTGGCTCTTTTAAAGGTAACTTGTTGAGGGCATGTGTATGTGGGAATGATATCCATCTAATTATTTCAAGATTATCCTTAGGCTGATGTGGTCTTTTATTCCCAGAAGCTGAGTATTTGAGATTAAGGCCGAGGCTGATAAGATTCTAGCACAAAGCTTCCTCATGAAGGACATTACCATAGCAGCTAAGCATTGAACATGAATTAGTCATCTTACTAGTTCCATGGAGAAACTGTAGAATATTCCAACTGTGGAAAACAGAGCACCTTGTTACCCTCTGGGAGTTTGCTCACCAGAGGAATGCTGCCTTGTACATTTTAAAAAATTAGTTTATTTTGCATTACAATTCTTATTACACATATAGGGCACAATTTTTCATATCTCTGAATATAAAGTAGTGCCTTGTGCATTTCCATAGCCAGAATCCCCACACTGGAAATTCTTACACTCTAAATTATAGGTTTTTCRATATATCTTTCAATCTATTCATTTGGGAGTTAGTATAGTACATAGATAGATTTTAGATTTTCCATAAAGTTGGTAGTAACAGACCTGGGAAAGAGACTAGCTTAGGGAATGACAGGCCTGGAAATGTATGCAGAACTTAAATGTTTTGTTTCCTTGGCCTTCATTTATTTTCCCCTTCTACCTATTTCTTATTCCTTCTGCTCTGCAATAGGTAGAAGCTGAAGTGTGAGCCTTTCTCCCTTGCTTCTCCTATTGGCCAAGAATAAGTGTCCTTCACTGATCAATCAGTGCTCCATCTTATTATTGGTTCTACAGTTTCAAGCAGGAAGAAGAACCCAGTTTGGTGTAAAAATTAGTGACACATCTACTGGAATTCTTGGAACCTATCCCCACTGTACAAGGGGAGACTTTTGTACTTACTATCAAATGCATTCCTGTTATCATTATTATTCTCCTTTCAATTATCACTGATTGTTGGCCTAAAACATCACAGTCCAGTTCAGCAAATTCCCGTGGTGGTGGCCTAATGAGGAAAGCTAATAATCCTTAAGGTTCTTTAGGTAACCACCTTTGGCAAATTAAAGAAAGGCTGTGGAAACCAGTTTTGGCATATTAAAGAAAGGCTGTGGATTTATTGATAGTATCTTGAAAGAAGGGAA